TCTCCCCAAACGAGCTTGATGGGCCGAATGGCCTCCTCTCGTTTGTAAATTTCTTATGTTCTTATGTTCTTGAGTTTATTTAGGAGCTGGATAGCTATGGGGACGTTCTGTCAGATGGGTGATGTTGGGCTTCTTGAGTTGCCATAGGAAGAGTAATCATTTCTGGGTTTTTTTGGTGATGGAAGTAAATTGCATGTCCCACTTTAATGTCCTGGTTATGGTGGTCCCCAGGAATTTGAAAGATTCAACCATAGAAATGGCCTGGCCATTAATTTCCAGGGGGAAGCAAGCAGAGGGTTGATGGCAAAAATCGACTCTCATTTCCGCTATCTTGACCACATTGAGTTTCAGGTTGTTGCTGGTGCCCAATGCGGCAAGACGGCCCATTTCTTTGCAATAGGAGGTCTCATCATTCTTAGAAATGAGTCCCACCACGGAGTCAGCCTGCCGTGGAAAAGTGTCATTTCCTACACCCTCCAATCCCCATTTTTAAAAATAGAAACAAACACTCCTGTTTGCTATTACAGAGGCACTGTACCCACTGTATTGCAGATTTTTATTCACCAGAAGTTTCCAGTACTTCCTCCTGGTGAAAGGGCATATCTATGAGCGTAAGGTCTTCGTCATTGTGTTTCTTGCACTGTATGAGAATATTCGATTTTGGTCAACATTTCCACTCTTGCTTAAGACTCCTAAGGCACTGAATGATTGAGTCTTCAGAACATATGACCTTTAAGAACAAGATTAAGTTTAGATGAGACAACTACAATGTCAATCATTGATATTTAGCCTTGGGTTCACTGATAACATGGATGCTAATGAGCATCACTGTGTTCAAACACAGTATTTGCTACAGACAATCCATGGCTAACACAGTAGTTTACCGCTCAAGTTTTTACCCTTCAAACTATTTCCAGTGTTCCCCATGTGTGTGTGGAAGTCACTGAAGAAGACCTCTGAGTCAATTGAACATAGCCATTTGAGCACCTCACCTGCTTTCTCTAAAACTTGGAATACACCAGACTGATTTTTGGCCATCAAAAACCATCAGGGAATCAGTGAGAGTCAGTGGACACTCTGAGCTCTGGACACTCTGAGCGGCACTGTTTGGACTCATTTATCTAATTGAATTGCCCTTGGAGCTAGTCGGTGACACCACTCTCTGATTAACTGTATGTCAACTGTCACCTATGGTCGTGATGGTGTGTTCCAGTGCAAATTTTCACAATCAATGAGAGCCAATGGGAGCCAACCATTCATCGGTCCTGGCTGCTGCTAGTCTTTTGCCATGTGCTGGGTGTTCCAGGTTTAAGAGACATAGCATTCCAAGGTCAGTGTCCATTACCAAGGTCATTCTATTCTTATTGGATGCCCTGGATGAAAGGCAGTAGCTGGTAAACAGCACTGCCAAACCTGGCTCAAGCAAGGGTCCCAGCAGACAACATCGCTCCATGGATATGGATATATGTCTGTGTGTGTGTCTGTGTCAGTCTGTGTCTGTGTGTGTGTGTGTGTGTGTGTGTGTGCCAGTCTGTGTGTATGTGTGTGTGTGTGTGTGTGTGTGTGCCAATCTGTGTGTATGTGTGTGTGTGTGTCTGTCTGTCTGTCTGTCTGCATGTGTATGTGTCTGTCTGTGTGCGTATGTGTGTGTGTGTGCGTATGTGCGTGTGTGTGTGTGTGTGTGTGCGTATGTGTACACATACACTAAGTCCACCTTTGCCACTACTGTTGACTCAGTAGTTTACTTGTCACACCAGACTTTTGCCTTCCTTGAACTGAACCAGTTCCATTTCCCAGCAGGCTAAGCCTCTGTGCCAGTTCAAGCCAGGCTTCGGCAGAACAGTCACAGTCAACATTCACCCTTAACTCTTAAGACCCTTAACCCCCAGCTCCATGGGCGCCTCTGCAGGCGGCTGCCCTTTGCTGACAAACTTGCTCTCACCTACATATCTTCTTTTGTGAGATGAAGAGCAAGATGGGCTAGAAGGAAGGAGAATTTTCCCATGGGGATCAATGAAGTCATTAAATTAAATAAACAGTTCTGTTGGTTACAAAAACTATGCATGTTTTTTCAAATAACCTAATGTCTTTGCCTCAGTGACTGAAAAAAAATACGCCACAAAATTCAAAATAGGGTTATGTGATGAATTCCATTTCAGCCTTGGGAAAGGGGCAGTCAGATTGTCTCAGGCAGGTCAGAGTTCTGTTTCATGAGTTGATACCATGAGCTGATTCCCCTGCAGTGTTTTAGACTCAAAATGCTATATTGCATTGTGACTTTTGTTAAAAGTGGCCCCACAATCACATATAAAAGCCTTTCATTTCACTGTGAATAGAACTGAGTGAAAGGACATGTTTACATTCATCCAGTGAGTCAATGACCAAGTTGGCCAAGGGTTCAGCAGTCAGCACCACTGTTGAATTAATCAGTATCCATTGTCAACACAGCATTTGATTAGATTAGCCTCATGCAGGATTGTTGTTATAGAAACAGGGAGCATTAAGGTTTGAGCTGCATAAAACAAAATTCAGAGAAGCCTAAATATTTTTACTTTAGAGGGCTTTCATTTGTATTTTAAAGACATTTATTAGAAGTAGTTAATTGATGTCATTAGTGGACTAAAGTAGTTACAAGAAAATCATGCAACTAAAATTAAGATAGAATAAGAATTATACATTTCATGTCCTGTAATATTTATCTGTCATTCATAATTCATAATTATTCATAGTTCTTAAAACCGAATGCTAAGGTCCAAAGCACTTTGATCACTGTATACCCTGTTCTAGGATGTAAGAAAATTTCAAATATTTTACCCAAGATTTTTGGTGGTTTCAGTACAATGATTCTTTAATTAATTAAGCATTACAAGGTTTGAACAGTTATGTCCATCTAGTTTTATATGGTATGCAATTAAATAATTCTGTCAATATGCAGAAAACTGAATAAGGTAATTATTAAAATGAAAACAAAGGTTGGTTCTACATATTAACATACATATCAAAATGCTTAAAATTAAATTACAGTTACAGGATTACAAAACAAAGATTTTTCAGTAATGATGTCTTTAGATTCGGTAGCAGTTGCTGATATAATTACTTCCCTTGTTTTGTACGACTCAGTAAAGAGTTACTGATCAACTATGTTGTGGTCAGCCAATGGTTAGTTTGTCTGTTTTGCCACATCAAAGGGCACTTCTACACCAGAGGAAAACCCTGCATGTAAACCCAGTATCTGCTATAAATACACCAAGAGCAGGAGCCATTAGACGAGTGAAATTCAGACAAAACAATAGCAATGAAGGATAGGCAAAATAAACAAGTCATATTTAATGGAAAAGAGCTTAATTCTCTGCTCTTGGTGGCTGAAAGTTATAAAATACCTATAGCTGTGGGATGTTTGGTCATCTTCACGGTGTTTGCTGCATTTTTCATATTAAGGATTCTGAGAATTCAAAGAGTTAAACAGAACACAAGTGCTGGGATAGAATCAAGCTTGACAGAGAAGACAAAGAAGGTGGTGCGTCAGAAGAAGAACAGACGCAACGCAAAGTCAAAAGGTACGCATTACAAAACAATATTCCTGCTGCGTCTTAATTTTCCAAATCTAAGTCACATTTGAAGGAGAGGAATTACCCCTTATAACAGTACTTAATTCATTATTTATTTATTTACGACACATTAAATATAGAGATATATTTCTTGGAAAATATATCCATAAGTGAATAAATGAATTTGTTTAATAGGCTGAGGCTCATTTAACATTTTGACATAATTTGATTGTCATATTAAAAGAAAAAAAAATGATTATGTATGCTGTGACAAATGCTAAGACCTGTAAGCTGGACACCAGTAGGGGTAGGAGAGACAGTCAATGACATGTGGCAGGATGGATGATGGATGGATGTAGTTTCATACATTGGCACTAAGGCTCAGACATAGGCGATTTTAACTGGGGTGCAATTGCACCCCCTACTGGTTAGACGAAAATTTCATTTGAATACAGTACATTACGGTAAATTGAATTAAATTAAATTATATTGGAAAGTTATATCTGAAAATACATTAGTCATATCAATGTGTAATAATAATGTATTGTAAATGTATTTACTTTTTTTAATAGAAATGTATATATTTGGATAAACTTTGGCATAGCCTCACCTTGCACCCTCCGGCAGAAAAGAACTGAATTGCCTATGAGTCCAGGGAGGCAAGGAAGCAGGCAAATACTCCCTGACAGGCAAAGTAAATGGGGAAATATATAACAGGGTCAGTCAGAAGGTAGCAGTTCTTTAAGGTCAGCCTCCCATATTCGCCTGTGCAGAAAGTACATGCATAGCAGGCCTGCCCTCCCCTTCTCTCTCGTTCTCCCAGCATGGGCCTTAAGTCTGTCTTGCCCCCTGGTTGGGACAATCGTCGACTGCCAGCTATGTTTGTTTTCGGATTTTAGTTTTTGGATTTTTGTTATAGAAACTGGCAGCCGTAAGTATTGTACATTAACATTGTAAGGTAGTTTTAAGCTGGGTTAAAAAAATAAAAAATAAAGCTTAAACAAGATTCAAAGCAGCCCAAAATAGTTTTACTACAGAGGACTTCAATCATCCCTACTAATCTCTAGCAGTCTTTAGAAATCCGCAGTGGTCAAAAATGAGGTAGCAATGGTTACTGTTGGCCTGTGTGGTGTTGGTCGCCCCCTGCTGGTGCACAGTGGATTCTCGGCGGGTTGTCAGACCCCAACACTCCTGTATATTATATTTTTTACTCAAAATATATTTTGAGTGAAACTGTAGTTAGTGGCTATTTCCTACCAGACATATATTTATTCATTTGATTAAAAAAACCATATTACAAAAAAAGGAAGAAAGACTTGTCGATGGATTATCTTATGTTCACGGAATCTTTGATATTGTTATAAAGCTTTGCATGACTGCACTTGCTCACTTGCACAAATAAAGTGGAGAACATCTTGAGGCGTTACATTAATGTTGAAGGTCATTCGCATTTCAATGCATGTAGCAGGTATGCCACTTTATTTTGATCCTAATTTAATTAAGGTTTCAGGGTATTTGGGGTATTTAATCTTTTTTTGAGAATGTTTGTATAGTACACCCCTAAGATAAAAATCATGAAGCAGACTACAATCGACTAGAACAGAGTACATTCCTAAAAGAAAAAAATTATCTTAATAAAAGTGTCATGTTGATAGATTAAATGGCTTGCAAGGAACCCAGAGAGAGTAATCTAGGCCTATTTGCATGTCATTTATGGGTCAACTTAACTGAATAAGTAGAAAATAGATGGATGTAATGATGGAAGTGTTTAAATTAGCTTACTTTTTTTTTTTTAGGGAAACGAAGGGAGCCAGTGTCAAAAATACCAAACTTTGAAGAAGGCAGTTCTCTAGATGTCAGTCCAGGATCACAGCATGAAGATGGTCGGCCCACTGCTGAATCTAAAGCAGACTCTCTGCTCGAGTTTAATAAAAATATTGATTGTGACGGCAGCCATGAGCAAGTTAGCGGCAACCAAAATGAAAATCTGAATGACGGTTCTCTTACTTTGGATGACCAGCTTGAGCTTAACAGCTATAGAGAATCAATGCATGCAAAAGTTTCTAAGGACAACGTCAATGAATTTGTAGAATCCCAAATGGACATTCAAGGATGCTGTGTCGACTGTTATGAACATAAGAGCCAGGAAGATGAGGATAATGTAGAATTTATTTATAAGAAAAGTTTGAAGGATGAGAATCCTCGAAACAATCAGGAACACATTGCTGACGGTTCTCAGTCTGACATGAAAAAAGAGCAAGAGATGGAACCCCTGAAAGCAGATATGACCTGTGCAGAGGTGACCTACAAGAAGATGAAGATATGTGCCATGGGATTAGCTATGAAAGACTGTCATGAAGGCCTGTCCAATGGTTGCCAAGGACCATCCATCAGTGAGCAGCAATGTAGTGATCTGCCCAATGGTATGCATGTCAAAAGACATTACGAAGAAGAGATGGTCATTCAGAGAGAGAGAAAGTGTGATAAGGAGAAGAATGGTCAGGCAATAATAGAAACAGAAATAAAGAATGATACAACCATTAACAGTCAGGAGAATGCTTCAGTTTGCCATCCAAGCAAGAATTCTCAAAATCTGAGTGATTTTCTTAATGATATGCATAGAGACAAAGGTGAAGATGACCACTATGAAACAGAAAATAATACACCAAATCTGAAATGTGCAAAAGTGATTTGTGAGAACTCAGCTGAAAAATATGTGGAAACACAGATGACAAACCATTCCACGACAGACATGAAGAGCACCGAGGAAACCACAAATAACCACAAGCGGACAGATCTCAGCAATGCGGAGAATAAGACTGATGTCCTCAGATCGAGTCTGAATGATTTGCCTGGTGGAGCATATCAAGAGTTTGAGAAGAAACCGTTAAACAATTCTCGATCTAGTCTGATCCAATTTGAAAGCCTTCTTAAAAGTAAAAGTGTCGGCACAGTGCAGCCGATGTCCCACACTGTCAAAGTGAGCTTTTGTGTTCACTATGTCACCCACTCACCTTCTGAGGGCCTCGCTGTCACTGGAAATAAGAATGAATTAGGAAGCTGGAAGAGTTTTATCCAACTACAGCAGGAAAAGGGGGGATATTGGTCCAACACCATTGTACTCCCAGTGGACAGTCACGTGGAATGGAAGTTTGTGCTTGTGGAGAATGGCAAGATTAGTCTGTGGGAAGAGTGTGGAAACCGATCATTCTTCACTGGTCAAGATGAAGAAATACATCTTCACAAATGTTGGGGTCACGTCTAAAATCATTACGGGTAAAATAAACTAAACTGATTTTTCATTGTATAAGGCAATGAAATCAAGTCAATGTCAGTCTGCAATGTATAAATACATTATTAAATGCATTATTCAGTGGTAGCTAATCATATAGTTAATGCAAAGTTGTTTTGATAGAGAAAATAATGCTAAACATATAAATAAATACAATAAGAAGTCTATTAAAAGCACTAACTGAAATTCGAACACGGAGGTGGGGGTGGGACAGTGGTACAGTGGTCAGCACTGTCGCCTCACACCTCTGGGAATAGGGTTCTGAGCTCCATGTGTGTGGAGTTTGCATGTTCTCCCTGTACCATTGTGGGGTTTCCACTGGGTGCTCTGCCCTCCCACAGCCCAAAAACATGCTGTGGTTAACTGGAGTTACCAAAATTGCCTGCAGGTGTGCATGTGTGAGTGACTGGTGTGTGAATGAATGGTGTGTGAGTGACTGGTGTGTGAGTGAATGGTGTGTGAGTGAATGGTGTGTGAGTGACTGGTGTGTGAGTGACTGGTGCGTGACTGTGCCCTGCAATGGGTTGGAGCCCCATCCTGGGTTGTTCCCATCCTTGGGCCCAGAGCCTCCAGGATAGGCTACAGACACCCCCCCCCCCCAACCAACCCTGAATAGTAGTGGTTACAGAAGATGGATGGATGGATAGATGGGTAACAGAAGATGGATGGATAGATGGGTAACAGATGATGGATGGATAGATGGGTTACAGAAGATGGATGGATAGATGGGTAACAGATGATGGATGGATNTGGATGGATAGATGGGTTACAGAAGATGGATGGATAGATGGGTAACAGATGATGGATGGATAGATGGGTAACAGATGATGGATGGATAGATGGGTAACAGATGATGGATGGATAGATGGGTAACAGATGATGGATGGATAAACGAAGGTGAGAAGCAGAAGCTAAAAACAGCCCTGAGATACTTTTTGAGGCTTTTATACTTATTTTGATAGTTAGTTCTATTTTATACCTGATTTTTCCTAACTATCTCAGTTTGTCATAAAATTGTATTTTGGAACTTTGAAAATATTTTTTAAATTTACTTTATTTTTAAACTCAACAGTCAATGATTGAGTCATTGATCTGGTTGCTACATACAGTAATGTCAAACAATCTTTCTTTGTAACATTGTAAAAATTGTGCTTTTATTATTTTCTTGCAATCCAAACTGAAGAAATAATAAAAACATTTACATAAAAATTATTTCCCCATTGTGAAGAGCTTCCTTTCAAGCAGCTAGTAATAAACCTCTGCAGAGCCATACTGAAATGACCGGTTGTTTCCCTTGTATTCTTCTTTCTGTTTGTTCATCTTCTAGCACACATTTAAGAACAAACTTATGACTTCACAATTCAACAGGGCAATGAGCAAACAAATAAGCGATAAGTGACTCTCCAAAACACTAGGTCATGGGCTCTTTTTTTGACTAAGTAACTACAAAAATTATGCAACTGCTTGCCAAAATTGTGCCAATTAAAATGTACTCTCAATCACATCATTTCATGTCATCATAATCAATTCAGATTACTTTCATGGTTTTTTCAAATTTTAGTTCTGAATAAATATCTACCTGCAAGGAAATCATACTAGCAAAGTCTATGTGCGCAACCAGCTTTAAATAAAATAATTTACTATGTATTTTTTGAATGAATAACATTTAGAAAACAATGAATAGCATGAATAAATACATACACAAATTCAATGCACTGCATAATAAAATGAATACTGTATTTTAATTAGATTTTCATACATTACAAAATAACATTGTTGCAAGAACATTACCAGAATTCAGATTTTAAATCAGAAAATATTTCATTCTGAAGACCACTGTGAAGAAATTTAAATCTGAATAATAATAGAAATTAGATTATTATTGTTATTATTATAATATTATAGATTTTCTTGTGATACACCATAATAAGTTATAAACTGTTATAAACTGCATCATCATCACTAGCCTCACTGACTGATTGCATTTGTGACATCAAACATTGGATGACAGTTAACTTTTTACGACTTAACCCTGAGGAAACAGAAATCCTAATGGTTGGTACTAAACCTGTCCACTCTATCCTTCGTGGGATAAAAATTGATGTTGACGGGATCCTGGTGGAACCTTCAGCATCAGTCCATAATTTGGGCGTCGTCTTCGATCAGCTTCTTTCTTTCCAACCACACGTCACTAGTACACACAGCACTTTCTCATCCCTAACTTACTCACTGTAACTATGGGTGGCAGAACATTTAGTGTAATAGCCCCTAAAATCTGGAATGCTCTTCCTCTCAGTCTTTGTGAGGAAAATATATTATTCATTTCAAGCTTCTGGTATAAAAACACATATCTTAAATATTATTCGTCTTGTTGTATGTAACTATTACGGTCTTGTTAATGGTGTTTTTGTTGAATTGTATTTGAAAAAGTATTTGAAAGGCACTATATAAATAAAACGTATTATTAGTGTATAATATTTGAATAGCTTGTGGAACGTTCATACATCCTTCCCACTTCCCATGGGAAATCCTGAATGGAATGCCGGTTAATCACAGGGCACAAGTAAATTTGAGAATGCAATTATGTTGACGTGATTTTCTCTTTATCGTCAGGGAAGTGATTAACATACAATTAGATTTAAATTGAAAAGAGTCTGGAAAAGACACTGCCATTCGCTTCCTGCACGGTCCCTACTTAGTATGAAGCGGCAGATTAGTTCACGCATGCGTCGCCTGAGACCCTCAGAGGAGGCGGAGGCAGATCCCTGCATCCGTGAGTCTATTTGCTGAATTTGTGCATCAAGTCAGCGTAGAGCATCGAACTTTTCTTCGCAATATGTTCTTGAAGATATTGCTTGAAAACGTGACAAAACTGAAGTGAAAGGCGAAGTAAAAGTGAGTAAGCGCGTTGCTAACTGTGCGCAACTTTTTGTTGCAAGTTAACTGAACTAATCCCGAAGAAGGCAACTAGCTGGCTGGCAAGAGGGGTCGCTTTTCTTTCAATGCAATGAATTGTAGCAAATTCTATTGTGATGGTAAAATAGACTCGGAAGGGGAGAAAAGCCTGACAAACGATCAAAAGTCCTTGCACCGGATCCCAATCACTGAACTCCGAGAGGCTGTTTTTGCATCTGTCCCCAAATTCTCCTACCAGATTTGTCTTCTCAACATCAATTTTTGATGACTGAAGGTGGCAGGGAGTGCACAAAAGAAAACACAGTTTTATTTTTAATGAAGTGTGTGTTTTACCAAGTATGGTAATTGGGCACGTTCACTTGAGAGTGGGCAGACGTCATTTTGCCCATTTAGAAACCACAAGACTGTTGTGCTACTTTTTGAGGGCGGTGGTGTCGTAAAAATACGTAGTTTATGACCCCACTAGAGACTATGAAGAGCCACTCGTATAGCTCCAGATCAATATTGCACAGAGGAAAATTGCTGTATGTGGAGGCTGTTCTCCAAGGAGGAGCCCCCTGGGGCTTTACTCTCAAAGGTGGCATTGAACATGGGGAAAAATTAATCATCTCTAAGGTAAGGGTTATGGACATTCATACCACAGACTGTTTTGCAGTGATGTTGTCAAGGATGCAAGTAGTACTATGGCTGTAACTTTGATGGAGGAAACATGCATCATTCTAATGAATCAATAATGCATATCCCTTTTTAAAAAAAAAATAAATGAATGCAAAAAACTATGTATTGTGTAAGAGCATTTGGAAGATTGGTTGTTTCTGAAATCTACAGGCTGCAAATCTATTGTACGAAGTAATATGCTGTATGGCTTTAAGGGAACAATACCAAGTTGAAATACATATGTGTTTAGTTCCATCCATCTTCCACAATAACTTATGCAATGTAAGTGTGTGCTGAAAGCTTGGAAGAACCCAGCACAGAGCACACACTCACACACACCATAGTCTGTAAGCAGCTTACAGTTCACCTGGACCACACGCGTTTGGACTGTAAGAGGAAACATGGGCAGAGTGAGCAAACCCCCCCCCCGACACGCACAGAGGTGTCAGGGAGCCGCACTGCCCTCTGAGTCAACTCCATCCGTGCTTTATTTGGCACAAGGTCATGGGGGGAGCAGGACTGGAAACTGTCCCAGGCAGCATAAGTATGAGACGGGGGTACATCCAGGGGCCAAGCAACAGACAACAGACCCCCCCCCCCCCGAAAAAGATGAGCATGAACAGATATCTATATAGGGTTGATCGATATTGGAAAAATTGCAGTATTTTTGGGTTTTGCAGTCGCCTTTTGCTATGAGTTAAGAGGGCGTTCTTTATCATTTATCATCATCATCTGCGTGTTACTGAGGCCAATCCGCTGCTCATGCAGAGTACAGGGGCGATACATGTACCTAACAAAGACTGTAGTCCTGTATCAGACAAACTCATTTTATCACACGAATGACTTTTTTAGTTATGTTTAGTTGTGAATCTGTACCCTAAACAGTGTTAGTCTTATTTCAAATGACAAAATCTTGATTATTTAATAATTATTTTAAAATCTTTCTTACATTGCATCCTTTCACCATGTGATTATTGCATGTGTGTCCATTGCAATGCCACGATAGAGATAACCCCCCCACCCCTGCCAGGGCAAATTCCATTCTCCCCAACTCCTTCCGACGCCACTGGGGACACCTAAACGGCATTCACCCAGAAAGTCTGGCATTCCGTCTGGGTCTTCATGCTGCCAATTGCCATGTTCATTGTTTTTGTGACTGAGCCTGTTCACCATAAGATTTTTTTCTTTTTTACCTTAGATTTTTCCAATCAGTTATGATCTTCTCCCCAAGATGGTAGTCTCTAATATCTTGCTTCTTCATCTTCCAGCTTTGACATTCACAAATAGTAACAGAAAAATACAATATTCTGAGCAATTCTGACCTTTATTTGCTGTTAGAGATATTCTGGTATTTTTTAGATCCTTCACAGCTCTGCCAACTGCAGTCTGTGACGTATTTCTTGACTGTTGGATTGTTTCAAGGAGGTGATGGTTATCTATGACCTCCATATCTATGAACATCAGCACTAAACTTAGCTTCTGTTTGACATGGTCAGCATCTTCAAAGGTTTGTTGCAGTCTGGAAGGGCACATGTTCACACCCTTCTGGTTTTTCCAGTTGATATTTTCTCTTTATTGTTTCAAAACTAAAACTTTTAATTCTTCTTGTAGAGATATGTTTGATATATCATGTTAATGACACACTGAGTGCAGGTATCATCAACCTAGGCCTTAGCACCTGAATCCAGATCCGCTGAAAAAAATAACATATGTATGTTCCTCTA